CCCTGGCATTAGCAGGTTTCAGAAGCTCCCTGCAGGATTCAGAGGAGCAGCCAAGGCGAGAAGCGCTGACTCAATTCTGGGGCACAACCAGGAGAAGCTGCCGCCTGGGGGCCCCAAGAAAGCTGCTGTGCTCTGATGGCTCGGCCATGGTAAGCCCGATGCTGCAGTCAGGGCTGACTCTGCGGAGGTGAATACAGCCCACAGGCTGCTTTCAGTGTTCTCTTCAGTTCAGTTCAGTCACTCAGTCGCGTCCGACTCTTTGCAACCACATGGACTGCAGCACGCCAGGCCTCCCTGCCCATCACCAACTCCCGGAGCTCGCTCAAACTCATGTTCACCAAGTTGGTGATGCTATCCAACCATCTCATCTTCTTTCATCCCCTTCTTCTCCCATCTTCAATCCTTCCCAGCATCAGGGTCTTTTCCAAGAGTCAGTTCTTCGCATCAGGTGGTCAAAGTATTGGAGTTTCAGCTTCAATATCAGTCCTTCCAATGAATATTCAGGACTGATTTCCTTTAGGATGAATTGGTTGGATCTCCTTTCAGTCCAAGGGACTCTCAAGAGTCTTCTCCAACACCACAGTTCAACAGCATCAGTTCTTTGGCAGTCAGCTTTCTTTGTAGTCCAACTCTCACATCCATACATGACTACTGGAAAAACCATAGCTTTGACTAGACAGACCTTTGTTGGCAAAGTAATGTCTCTGTTTTTTAATATGCTGTCTAGGTTGGTCATAGCTTTTCTTCCAAGGAGCAAGCGTCTTTCAATTTCATGGCTGCAGTCACCATCTGCAGTGATTTTGGAGCCCAAAAAAGTAAAGTCTGTCACTGTTTCCATTGTTTCCCCATCTATTTTCCATGAAGTGATGGGACCGGATGCCATGATCTTAATTTTTTAAATGTTGCGTTTTAAGCCAACTTTTTCACTCTCACTTTTAATGTTCAGATACTGAGAATGGAGGGAATGAGGGCTTTGATGGGGCAGGAGCTGAAGTGTGGGGGGAAAGAAGCCTCTGGAAGCTTTGGAAGTGTTGACTCACTAAGAGCAGCCAGAGCAGACAGCTAAGACTTCACAGGCGCCCTTGGGCAGGGGAGGAATTGAGCGTGGCTGTTATCACTGCATACTCACTGTTGATCAGAAACAGCCTGAGAGCCTTTGAAGAAGGAAATGCGAACCGCCCTCCTAAGGCTTTCCCCTCAATGTTACCTGTGCAGATTCAGCTGAGTGAGATGGGCCTGAAGACTCTCAGTGGCCCCCTATCCTGGCACTGGCTTCCTGGAGAGAACTGGTCTTCAGGCCTGACTTCGCCAGAAACGTTGCCTCTTACTTGATAGGGACTTTGGGAGCAAACAGCTGCTCTTTCTGCTCATATATCAGAAAGCAGTGCTTGCAGGCTGGCCACCCCGAAGGCCCTTGTGCTCAATCTAACCACTCCAGCAAGTGGGTATAGAGACCAGGAGCCCTCGTGAGTGTCTTGACTCACTTATACCCCCGCCTGGTGCCAACGAATGATTTAAGGTAGCTTAAAAAGACCCCACATCCTTCCACAAAATAGAATCCATCTCAAATGAAGAGACTTGAAGCCAAAAGAAAATAAGAGAAGCGAGTATGATTCATACCAAAACACAGACACGTCTTGGAATTCAACACACTGGCGGAGAGAGAGGCCCCTGATCTGACTCTGAGTTTTCTAGTTCCCAACACAAAAGAAAGCAGGCTCTCTACACAATTCAGAGTCCATAACATCAAATCTAAACAGTCGTTCAGATAAACAGAACGGTTCCTGGAACTGAAACCAGACAGAAAAGCCTCCCCTAGCTCCACGTGGAAAGGACCCTGTGATTTAGTGAATAAGATCCTCAAGGCAGTCTTTCTGTAAACATGGCAATGAGTTTCACAGGTCTGTTTTTAAAAACATCCCTCAGTGAAGGCTGATGTCATAATGCCAAATTATCCTCCAATTAGGAAAAAAAAAAATTCTACAGGAGACCAGGACAAATGTTCCAAGGACCAAAGCTTGACTTAATTCAAAAGTAGATGTTCCAGAAAGGAGAAGAATGGTAGATTGGGTCATCGTTATTTTCCAGGTACAAAAGCTAAGGCTCAAAATATGGTCCAGATGAGTTACGTGTCAGACGCTCCCTTCTGCTAAGCCAAAGAGCAAGAACTCAAACAAAGGCTCTGGTATTGCTTGTGTTTTTGTCTAGCATGTGTTCTAATCTAGACAATACAACTGACGGGGGTGGTCTGTTAAGATGGGAAAACCCTCTTGATGGCTGCTATAAGACAAAAGAGAGCTTCCCAGGTGGCTCAGTGGTAAAGAATCCACCTGCCAACGCAGGGAGACACAGGAGACATGGGTTCGATCCCTGGGCCAGGAAGATCCCCTGGAGAAGGACATGGCAATCCACTCCTGTATTCTTGCCTGAAAAATCCCAGAGGAGCCTGGCGGGCTACAGTCCATAGGACTGCAAAGTGTCAGACACGACTGACACGACTGAGCACGCACATGCACGTAAGATAAAAGGGAGCCCCAAATTTATACTCAGCCTGCCCCCCACCGAGATCCTCAGCTGCAGCTTTCCCTCTTGTTACATGGTACATCCCCGGCTCCACCCCACCCCTCCCAGCCTGAATGGCCCTCCCACCACCCACGGAGTTGGATGGACAGGGCCTGCCTTGATGGTTGGAGGTGCCACACTCCACCTTCCGACTGTACCCCAAAGCAGCCCCCTGCACTAGCCTCGGCCACCTTGGGCTCCCCCCACCGGGTGTCCCCCGGAGCTGTGAACGTGCTCCGGGGCTCAGGTGTGGGAGGGGAGCAGCAAACAGGGGATCTGCCGGGGGGACGAGAAAGAAAGAGAAGAAAAACGGCCCCCTCTGAAAGCTTTCCAATCACTCCACCACCACCATCTCTAATTCTTTTCTTAAAGGATAAAATCATTCTTCCACTGATCTCGCTCGTGGTCAGAGCTCAGTACAGGCCCATCCGTCACGGGGATGATTTGGTTCAGCAGGTGTTGGCTGGGCCATCGCTCATTTCAGGCTAATCTGCTGGCGGCTGTCAGGGGTTATGGAGTATTTATTGAGTTTGTGTCAGGTCCGGATGACCAATAGCCAGCAGCCGGTGGATACGCACTGACATTGATGATATTGCCGAATTAAGCGAGCTGATGTATACTCAACTTGCTTAGAGCCAGCAACGGACCCTGGGATCGTTTTATAACCTGATGCAGACGATCCCTGGGCTTCCCTTTGCAAAGAAAACATCACACGCAGGGCCGATTCTCTTTAAAGGAAAAGATACATGGTCCCCACAAAGGTAGTCATGCCTGCATTTCAGTGAACAAGAGCGTTTCCTGGGGAGGCTGGAGCCAACACAAGATCCAGACATTTGCAAATGGCCTTCTACATGCTGCCAAGGCCCATCAGAGTCACAGCGTTTAGACTCTGGATTCACAACACTTCGATGTTAGAACTCAGCAGGAAGAGGCATTGAGCGGTGACCTAGACTCAAGAGGATGAACGTAAATCGAGTCAAAAATCTGCCTTTGGTGGCAGCAAGATATCACAGACAAGAACACTGGGGTTGAATCAGACAGCAGATAGGATCATTACGCCATCTGAGGCCATTGTACAGTTGGGCAAGACACTGTGTGTGCACAGATATGCGGAGATAGCTTCTTGTTCTCTCCTTGTCTTCTCCTCTAGTCAGTCCTCTCCCTGAAACCTCACTAGACTCCAAAGCAACTGATAAAATCTCCCACGATCAGCACCTGAGGGATGGAGGTATTGTCCCCAACCCATGGGACCATCACATTCAAATAAGCAGAATTAGGCACAAAGCCTCCTACTTAGCCCACCTCCCAAAGGACCCTCTGATTACACAATCCCATGGTCAGTCTCGTGGCTGAGATCAAGTCTCCAGCATACTCATGGGGAGTAGCAGGCATGATGCCCTACCCTGCACCAAGAAGGGGCCGGCAGGATGTGTTGGCACGGGCAAGGGTCTGTAGCTGGGATGCTGAGCGGGTCCCTTGAGTGGTCTGGGTCTCAGGGTCTCCTTCTGGAAAAGACTGCTCTGCGGGCCCTTCATCTCCAAACTCCCTCCAGTCCACAGCGTCTGATTTGGAAGAGTCTCCTTTCCAATGCCACCACTTCTTCCTTTGAGAGAAGCCCTGTCCCCAGTGATGCGCTGGTAATGCCTGCCTTTTGGAGGGGGAGTCAGCAGTGGGGAGCCTTTCCAAAGCCCTAGATGGGGATTGGTGTTCACAAGTGTTCTCCTTCCAATGCCCAGCCATAGCTTTCATTCCGGAACACCTATGCTGGGCCAGGCACCAAGAAGATGCTTTATTTGTAAATTATAAAGAGACACTGAGGCTTCAGGAGCTGAAGGGAGCCATCAAGGTTGCACAGCTGGAAAGAGATGCAGCTAGGATTCCACTCTAGTCCCGTCTGTCTCTGCTGGCTAGGCACCATTCACTTCGCTGCCCTGCCCAAGACAGGGGGATCATGCAGAAATCATCAGTGAGTCCCAACGTCTCCCTTCCGCCCCAGGCTTTTTGGAGAAGGGCTAAGGAGCATAATGGTGAGTTTTACACCTCCCCTCCCCCTCCGACACCTCTCGCCTGCCCGTCTGCCCATCTCCACAGGAAAGGGGAGAATTAAACACAGGCGCTAAAGAAGGAAAGAAAGAATGGGGTCCCAGATAATCGTTCCCAAATCATCAATGACCGCCTCAAGAAACCCACCAAGTACGTATTAACATGTCACATATTGATAGAAATGGCAGATGCATTTTATAAACACGTACACATGTATATATACACGTATGCTCCCTGGACGGGTAGGTGCACTTAGCAAATGAATGACGAGCTCTGTGATGCTTCCCCGTGATGGAAATTGAATTTAGGTCACAGAACATCATCTGGCCCAATTACCACTGAATTATTCCACACAAAATATCAAAGTGAATTTTTGGGGGCTGTCAGCCCGGTTGATGAGTCGGGCGGCTGTCAGCCCGGCTGCTCCCGCCTCCCGTGCCAGAGAAGAGTCTGAAAGTCATGCAGTCCAAACAGCGACCTTGGCGGGGGACAGGGTGAGATTACCAGGATGATGAAATGCCAAGGCGAAGGTTCCGGAGCCCGGATTTGAATACCTGTTTACATGAAGGATAACAGATAGCCACCCACGGACTGCAAGGTTGTAACTCACTCCCCAGAGTGCCGCCAACACCATAAAACACGCCGGCCCTGCTCGGGATGTCTGCGCCCTGGCAGCCAGGCCCGGGAGTGATTTAGGGCCCCGGATCCATTCAGAGACTATCTGATGATCTATTGTCTTTTATTACAAGCACTAGTCTGTCTCTCTCCCTCTCTCACAACTCTTTTTTTTCTCCTCTAAGAAGCATAATCTCCCTTAAAGAGATGCTACTCAGAAGTGCTCCTTTGATTCAAAGATAATGAGGATTCTTTATGCCATAAAAAATTCTTAACCTCTGCCACTGTAAAATAAAAATACATGTATTTTTGATTTTCCCTTCAGATCGGCCGGGCCCTGCGTCCTCCTCTTGCCAACCAAGTGGGCAAATCTGTCCTTTTTTGTACTCTCAGCTCCTCCCCCCAGGCTCCCCCTCCCCAAAAGCCAGCAGGGCCACCCACTCCTTTGCTTCTCTTCTGGCTAATTGTCTCAGGCCATCTGATGCTGAAATAATCCATAATTGCTTAATCTATCCGCGTCTGTGTGGCAAGAAGCGGAAAAGCACTTTAGAAAGATCAATCATCTAAAATCATTGAGCAGCATATTGGAAGCCGGGTCGTCGCCTGCTCCCAGCTGGGAAAATGATGGTGGTAAGAGATAAAGACTTGGGAGAGGAGGCTTCTCCCTCTCCATCGCTTTTTGATTCTGAGATAGATTACCAGGAGTACTAACTGCTCTCCGTTTGAGCTAAACAAAGATAATAGCATTGGAAGTAACAGCTACATAAATGATATGACAATCAAATAAACCTCCCCCTACCCCCGGTCCCCCACCAGAACTAGCAGGCTAACAGATTAAGCAGCACAGTAGGGGGGGGTACATCTTTGCCACAGGGACCTTGATCACTGGGGACCAAGTGGAACAGAGAAATCTGAGTTCCTAAACAGCTGGGAAAAAAAATGTAAAAGGCTCCATCCACTCTCTATAAATAAGAGAGAGGCAGGCTGGAGACAGGTTGGCGGAGTAGGCTCAACCCTTCCATAGCAATCAAATAAGCAGACATTCTCTCAGCATCCCTGGACAGCAGGTTGCAGGGACAAGGGTACCACTATTTTCAAGGTTACGCATCTCAAGCTGGTATCTGTCTCCTTCAGCCTGTACTTCACCTGCTTGTACTCAGAGTCTGTTGTTGCTTTGTCGCTAAGGCACGTCCAACTCTTGGTGACCCCATGGACTGGGGCCTGCCAGGATTCTCTGTCCATGGAATTTTTCAGGCAAGAATACTAGAGTGGGTTGCTGTTTCCTTCTCCTGGGGATCTTCCCAACCCAGGGATCGTACCTGTGTCTCTTGCATCTCCTGCCTTGGCACACGGATTCTTTACCACCAGGGAAGCCCTACTCAGAGTTTAGGGACTGTTTTTTTTCTGCTGCTGCTCTTGCAGCAGTAGATGCTCCCAGAGCCCTGGCCTTTCTGAAAACCCACCCCTAACCTTCCCTGATACTCCCCTTCCCCTGTAGAGGAGAGGTGGCAAGAAAGAAGGGCGTCATCAGGATGAGAAAGAAGAACTAGCAGGCGAGGTCTCCTCTCACCCTTCCCTGCTGCTGGCCTGAATATAATGTTCAGAGATGTGGCCTCGGGCACAGGGTACCAGGTGGGATGCCACACAGTCTAGATGTACAGAGAAGCTGGGAAAGCTGACGCTTACAGCACAAGTCCACAGCCTACCTGGACCACTGATGGGCCGTGTGAGTCACATAGCCTCCTGAACCTCAATCTTAAAGATACTTCACTGCAACACTGTGAAGTTCAGACCTGGTATTTTAGGCAACTGACAAACAATAGGTATTTCCATAAGTAGTTACTGATGTAATTGAATTGTTGCCACCTCAGAAGGGTGAGCTTCCCCGGTGGCTCAGGGGTAAAGAATTCACCTGCAATGCAAGAGACACGGGATCAATCCCTGGGACAGGAAGGTCCCCTGGAGGATGGCATGGCAACCCACTCCAGAATTCTTGCCTGGAGAATCCCATGGACAGCGGAGCCTGGCGGGCTACTGTCCATGGGGTCGCAAAGAGTCGGACATGACTGAAGAAACTTAGCATGCACGCACACACACATGCACATCCTCCGGAGAACCCCATAGGGTAAGTGTGGTTATTCTTTTCAAATTACAGGTGAGAACACTGAGGCAGGGAGAGGTTAAGTAACTTGCTCAAGACCACACAGGTTTGCACTGATGTTATAATAAATGCCGGCTGCTATGTCTCTCGTCAAGAAAGACCGACTTGCTCTGAACTGAAACCTCACACGTGTCCTCCTGTCTATAGCTACTCAGCCACGTGAGGATCTGAAGTAGTTGCTAGAGCAGCGTCTGCTGGTCCGGGGTTCAGAGCCGCAGGTCACCTGGGACAGACTTGGAGCCCAGCTGGTGTATCACCTCTGCCTGTCTGCTCCTTCGGTCTCTCTGATCGGAAAGGTCCCCAGCTTCACCAGCTCTCGAGCCCACAGCCCCAAGAAGCTGGGCTGTGCTTGAGCCCATGCCTGAGGGAGGACACAGGGGCGCCCTCAGAACCAGGGGGAACCACGCTCTCCCTGCCTGATCCCCCCTTCCCCGGGGAACAGGTGTGCAGGTAGCAAAGAGGGTCCAGACTCACCCACGGAACCCGCCGACTCCCCACGCGGGGAAGGGATGGGCATAAAAGGGGATGGCAGAACCGGCTAGAATTCCAAGTCTGGGACTCAAAGGCAGCAAAGCAGATCAGGGACCAGACTATCCCCAGGACTCTGGCGCCAGGTGGGATCTAAGCGGAGAACTCAAGTCCCGGGTGTACTGTATTCCATCCCTTGCCCTCAGCACCTCAACCTCACACACTGCGCACATCCCTGCCCACACTACGCTGCTTCTGCTGAAATAAAACCCGACTAGGGGGACGGATAGGGTGGGACGAATTGAGAGGGATATATACACCATTGTGTGTAAAATAAATAGCTAGTGGGGAACTGCCGTATAGCTCAGGGATGCTCTGTGGTGACCTAGCGGGGTGGGAGGGCGGCTCCAGAGAAAGGGATATATTTATACATATGGCTGAGTTACTTTGTGTACAGCAGAAACTAACATAATATTATAAAGCAATTATTCTCCAATTAAAAATTGAAAAATCAACAAAGAAAAACAGTGGTTTATAGTTAGCTAAGTCCATTTGGATACCAAAAGAACAATTACAATAGGTGATGCGGTAAAAGGAGCAGGTAAATAGAACTCTGCGAAATAATAAGGAGCTAAAAAATATGTCTATGTACCTATGGAGACATATGATAGAATGTTACCAAAAAACAGTAGGAAAATAACTCATTTTTAAATAGAATAGATGTTATTTGGAAATCACTACATGGGGGGAAATCTATTAGATCTCTGACTTCAATTATATGCAACAAAATCTCTAAATGCATCAAAGACCCAAATATGAAAGATGAAACTACAAACATAGTTTTTAAATGTAAGAGAACTCTCTTGTGATAGAAGGTGAACATTTTCTTAAATAAAGCCTCAAACACACAAATCTTAATACAAAAATACTTAGTGGGTTCAAGCACAGTGCCTTTATGCCATCAACAACAGTATAGACAGAATGACAAATGGGCAGGAAATAGGATAAAATTGTTTTCAATGTTTAAAACCAACAAATGGATTATTCTCTGCAATACACAAGCAATTCTCACAAATAAACCCAAGAAAATGGAAAAGGGATTAAGTAAGCAATTCACAGAAAAGGAAATCTGAATGGCGAATACACATAAAGAGACATCTAACTTTAGTAGAATTAAATAGCTACATAAATTTAAATATCAGTAAGACACTGCTTCCTGACCTTCCAAATGTCTGAAATTTTTAAATCAGGTAATACATTTTAGAAAGTTATGGAGGTATATGAACTCTCATGCATTCTTGTTAAGCATGTACCCCAGTGTTTCCATTATGGAGAATAGTACTTAGTCAAAGTAAGAATGTGTATGCTCTAATAGCTAGTAATTTTAAAGCATTTAAATCTGATAATTGACTGAAGTAGCATGGAATTGGAGAGCATTTAAGTCTATTTTCCTACCACTAGGGAAATAGATAAATGTGATGAATGCATGCATACTGTGGAGTCGTGTGTACCACTTATGAGTATTAACTACAGTAGGTTCATAGAGTAATATGGATAGACTTTGATAATGAAGAGTTGGTCCCACTTGTAGTGGATTGACGAGAGAGGGGCTGAGAACACTTCCACAAAGAACTAAGTGAGCAAAATATATAAAGACTGAGAGTGCTAAGGATCCTAAGCTCTCCCACATCCCTGGTTGTGCAAATTCCTTGAAAATGTTTTGGCAATATTGACTAAAACTAAATGAGTGAACACCCAATAATTCTGCTCCTGGAGATGTGCCCATCAGACATGGATATCTAAGTTCATCACAAGGATCTAAAGAATGTTCATAGCAGCACTACTTGTAAGTCCCCTCAACACCTAGAAACAACCCAAATATCTACCAAGAGAAGAATGGATAAATACATTCTGGTCTAGTCACACAACTGAGTACTATACTGCAATGACAATAAAGGAAGAGCATGGATTAACTTCACAAATATAAAGTTCAGTGAAAGAAGTCAAACAAAAAGGATAACATGCTGTAAAATTCCATTTATGTACAATTCCAAAGCAGGCAAAATCAATCTATGGTGTTGACATGCAGAAGATTGGTTCCCCATGGCAGAAGGCTGTGACTGAAACAGGTGTGAGGGGGATCTTCTGGATTCAGATCATGTTCTGTTTTATCAGCTGAGTGCTAGTCAACTTTGTTAGTGTTGTGAAAATTCATTAAGATGTACCCGAGCAATTTGTGCAATTTTCTGT